ACATTGCATCATAAAATTTTCGGTAAATGATTTTAACTCCGTCTGTAACTGATTTTGGTGGTCATGCTGGGTTCGTGGGTGAATCGTATTGTCGGTGAAATGAACTTGTCGGTGAATTGAACCGGAACCATTACACTGTCACACAAGATTTGCATATATATATATGTCGATATCTGATAAAAAAATTTTAAAAATTCGAGATTAAAAGTACTGCGAGAATTTTTTTAGATCTACAAAATGTCTAAGTCGGTAAGTCTTATAATCAACGTATTGGGATTGGTAGAATAGTAAAACTTACTATATACTTCGCTAAATTGTAGGAATTTGTCGGGTCACGATTTTTCAGAGGTGGATCAGACAGTGAATCAGAGGAGGAGGATATTATTTCATCGGATGAATTATCAGACGAGGGTGATATTAGTGAAGAACCAGAGTCCGAAGATGAAGTAGTAAAACCACAACAATCAAAATATCTTAAAGATGTCTCCTCAGAAGATAGTGATTCTGAAATTGATAAAAAGGAGCGGTTCAAGTCTGGCAGAGATAAAAGGTTGGAAGCAATTGAAACTTGTATAAAAGCTATCGAGAATGCGCAAAAAATTAATGACTGGGTCGTGATTCAAAATGGTATGTTTGTTGAATTGATTTTTGTGAATTGATTTTTTTGGTAAACAATATCGAAGAAACGAACATTAATTCATATTTATTTTTAAGAATTTGACAAATTAAATAAAATAATAAGCAAAGATCCTCTCAGAATTCCGCGCTTATATATCAAAACAATCGCATCACTTGAAGACTTTTTAAATGAGACTTTACAGAAAGAAAAGGAGTCAAAGAAAAAAATGAATGCATTACAAGCAAAAGCTTTAAATTCTATGAAACAAAGGATCAAAAAGAATAATCGAGCATATGAAAATGAAATTGAAAAATGGCGGCAGGTAAAAATGAAATTTTATATAGTTTAATAGTGATAAATTATAGTTATACTAATTTAATTTAACATATAGAATCCTGTCGATGAGACTGAAGAAGATAATGAGGATGAAGATGCTGGAGTTGAGAAAAAGAAGCCAGGAAAAGATACTGGTGATCTTGACTCACAATCAGACGTATTATCCGAAGATGGTGCTGGAGCAGAACAGTTTACTAAAGTAGGAAAGAGTAAATCTATAGAATTTACATCTGATAACTTGTTCAAAAAGTTGAGAGAAATAATGGAAGCGAGGGGAAAAAAGGTGAATTATAAGGTCCTTTTTCGTTTAATGATAATTGTCGTTGACATAAAACCAATCATATCCGATAATCAAGAATACTGACCGCTTGGAGCAAATCAAAACTCTTCAAAAACTTTTGGAAGTTGCTGTAACACCGTATCAACAAATTCGCGTATTGATTGCTTTAATACCTGCTCAGTTTGATTATAATCCCAGCATGAGCAATTATATGAATGTTGATATGTGGAAAAGGTGTGTTCAAATGATTACAATTTATTACATTTTTAATCGTTCGCAAAATTAATTATTTTGTACGTTAAAATAGCACCCAGAAAGAGATTAACCAACTTTTAACAATTCTTGAAACTAATCCTCAATTCATGATTCATGAATTTATGGAGGAAGATGTTGATGAGAAAGAACCTGTGATTGAGCCTGGTCAAATATTTGGTATACGTGGTTCAATTGTTTCTTTCATTGATCGTTTAGACGATGAGTTCACAAAATCATTACAAAATATCGACCCACATACTACGGATTACGTGGATAGATTGAAAGATGAGACAGACCTGTATGACACTATTATAAGGGGTCAAATCTATTTTGAAAAGAATGAATTAAATGAGAGTACAAGCAGGGTCGTTATGAGAAGGTTGGAACATCTGTATTATAAGGTAATATAACATCACCTTTTACCTATGAACTATTTTTTTTTTTTTTTTTTTTTTAATTTTGAATAATGAACTTATATAATTTTATAAAGCCCGATCAAGTAATACAAACAGTCGAAAACACAGTTCAACAGTTATACCCGGCAGGTCTTACCTCAAAAATAACCACACCTACGTCCAGCAGTGATCCTTCAGAGTTAATTCACGCACTTTGCGTTTACCTCTACAAGAAAGGCGAATCTCTGCTACGTACACGTGCTATGCTTTGTCACATTTATCATCACGCATTACACAACCGCTTTTATGTTGCGCGAGACATGCTCTTGATGTCACATTTGCAAGATAATATTCATCAAAGTGATGTAGGAACTCAAATTTTGCACAATCGTACCATGGTTCAAGTTGGCCTTTGTGCTTTCCGGGAAGGGATGATCAAAGAAGCCCAAAGTTGTTTACAAGAAATTTGTGGAACAGGTCGTACGAAAGAATTGTTGGCTCAGGTAAATATAAGTTGTTTAAAGGTTCCTTTGAAAGACCCGAAGTATTATAAAATAAGTAAGATTACTAAAAAGAAAAAATAAAATTGAAAAATCGAAACACTGCAGAAATTTCTCAATTTTTGTTTTTTTTTTCTTAGCAAAATTTGTACAAAAATAAGCAAATACTAATCTTACTTATATCAGAATATTTCGGCTGTCTCCTTTGACATAACAATTTGTTATTGTAACAAACTTTGTAATGAGCTTCTTTTTTGTAAAAATATCTTTTTTTACATAGGGTTTACAATTACAGAGATATTCACAACTCCCAGTAGAGCAAGAAAAACTAGATCGTCAACGCCAATTACCGTTCCATATGCATATTAATTTAGAATTATTGGAGTGTGCTTATTTGACATGCTCTATGCTTTTAGAAATACCCAGCATGGCGGCTGCAGGATCAAATCCCGAAGCACGTAAGAAGGTTATTAGTAAACCTTTCAGAAGAATGTTAGATTACAATGAAAGACAAGTCTTCAGCGGTAAGCCTTTTTACCTACGAATTTATTATGGTTTTATAATATCAATGCTCATACTAGATATTAATTTAAAAAAAAGGTCCCCCGGAAAATACGCGGGATCACATTATGGGCGCGGCTAAGGCACTTGCAGCAGGTGAATGGAAAAGATGTCAAGAACTTATAAGTGCCATAAAAATTTGGGACTTAATGCCAGAAACGCAAAAGATAAAAGAAATGTTGAATAGAAAAATTCAAGAAGAAGGCCTTCGCACATATTTATTCACATATTCATCATATTACGAAACGTTAGGGCTTGAGCAATTAGCTACAATGTTTTCTTTGCCTACGAATGCAGTAACTGCCATAATTTCAAAAATGATTTGGAATGAAGAATTGGTCGCATCACTAGATCAAGTCGATAGTGTTGTCGTATTACACCGAGTTGAACCGACAAAGGTTCAGCAGTTCGCTTTAATGTTTGCTGAAAAAGTAGCATCATTTGTAGAAGCAAATGAAAAAACATTAGAATTGAAACAACAGGCCGGACAAAATCAAAGAGATCAACAAAGGCAAAAAGGTCAGTAGAAATACATAATAAACAATTCATTTAGTCATATAATTTGATACTTTGTAACTATTTTAATTATTATTATTATTTTTTTTTTTAATTATTTTTGAAAAATTTAATAGGGCAAGCCAATCAACAACAGAATATTGAAAAACGAACGACCTATCAAAAGAGAGACGGACAACAGCAACGGTCTCGAAATAATTTCAATAATGTTTTGGGTAATAGTGTACGAGGAAGGACGCAACAAAATCGATATAGGTCATAAATTAAGCATATAAAATAACAAAACAATATTCGGTATTGCGTATTTGTAAATTAAGATTTTGTATTAAATACAAGCAATACAAGCAATACAAAATGAGTTTTTATTAGAATAAAATTTTCGACAATTAATAAACCTGGTAATTGTTTTATGTTTTGATTTCAATCTGAAAAAAATAAGTTATTAACCAGGTAATAAAAAAAAGTGACCTTATTAAGCGTTAAGCGTTAGTATCAAATGGTATAAAAAAGTAAATAACTGAGCGAAACAATTACGCACTTAATGAAATATTTACATAACGATTATAATAAAACATTGTTGACAAAAAAAAATATTTACTGATCGGATTCTTGGTGACCTGGAATAGAAATCATGGAACCATGTGTATTAGTTGGTTTATTTTGTCTATATGTAACGTAAACAATTAAAATCGAATTCTAGTATATATGGCATTAGTTGTTAAGAGCTAATTTTTCTGCCGTAATAGGTATAAAAAATATTTATTACAGGTACATAATGTGTTAGATATCAATATGTATCTGTATCAGAAAAGTGCATCACGTGATTCGAGGTTAAAACTTTCCTACCTAGAACTTTGTTTTAGTATATTGCTTTAAAAGATTCCTAAAAATAATTAGCAAATATATAGAGTAATTAAATATGCTCTAAATTACCAAAACTTAGTGAGTGTTAAATATTTTGATAAAATTTCTTATTTGCTTACCTGACAAACAAAGCTAAAAGATTGACTTGATTACCAATGCATACAAAGAGCACAACGAAGGATTCACATGTGTCATTATAATCCCACGTATCAAAAAAATTAAGCATAACCATAAAAACAGAAATAAGTAATGAAATTTGTATGATATTTATCTATATAAATAAATTTATTATTTGCGCGGTCTTCCTAATATTTATTTCTATGTATTGCATACCCATGCCTAAAAAATTATGAAACATAGCGACATGTATTTTTTATACGTAGAATAAAAGCGCACATTCTAATATCACAATAATGTACATATCAGATATATACTTGCATATTATAAACAATATAAAAAAAAAATTTTTTTTTATAATTAATTAATTAAAAAAAAAAAAAAAAAATTATTTTAACTGTTTTTTTTTTTTATAATAGGTATGTATAAAATAAACTGCCTCTACCAGTTTAATATAAATTGGCCAAATTCGCTTTACATTTTCCTCTTTCGTAGAAAGATTAAACACCATCATTCAAAAAAGAAAAGTCAATGGACTAGCATGTTTATGGGTCCCTTACAACTTTTACTTTGATATAATTTTGATATAACTTTGATATATAAATATTTTTTTTTACTATTATATAAAATTATATATATAAACAACCTTAATTTCGAGTTTTTTTGGTTCTTCGTCTCGAGACAACCATAATTTCTATACTTTTCTTCTCTTCCTTGTGCCATAATTTATTTTCTAGCCACTTTATGCGGCCACCTTTCCCCTACAACGGCTTATTACTTTTAATTTTTTAAAAAGAAATTCCCTTTATATATGTATATTAAAAAAAATTGTCGTAAAATGAACAACGACAAAAAATTATCGAATCTTCCGTATGCAAATGTACAACGGATGCCATCTTCAAGGACTGCGACGGCAGCCATGATCTCATCAACAAAAAGTTCAGAAGCGGCATCCAAAGCATCAACTCTTCGAATTATTAATCAAGAAGAAATTCGTAGTTTATTCGAACAACGTAAGGGATCTCAATACTTCATTCCTGAAGGATATGAACCGATTTTAATTCCACGCGATTCGCAACTACAACCTGTGGCAACCCTTTTACAAAATAATAAAGGCTTACAACAACGTTCTCTACAAAAACAACAATTAAAAATTCAACAAGCCAACAACCAAAATTCGGCAGCGCCGGGAGTAGTCGTTGTTAATAAAACCTTGACACAACTAGTTTCACCCATAAATTGCAACATAAATCCTACACCGCCCGACGTTCGGTTTCCTCATTTAGTGTTGGCTCGTGCAACAACACCGACTCCGCGGGGCGGAGCGGTTACTAAAGCAACAAAGCCTAAGAAGCCTCCAAGACCTCCTAACGCATTTATACTTTATAGACGTTCTAAACAACAAGCTATAGTTGCGGCAAACGAGGGAATATCAAATAATGAAGTATCAAAGCAAGTTGGGGAAATGTGGCACAAAGAACCCCTTGAAGAGAAAATGAAGTTTCAACGACAAGCCGACGCGGCAAAATTGGAACATATGCGAAAGTATCCAGAATATAAATATCGACCTAGAAGACCTCATGAAAAACGTCGTCGTACAAAAAGGTCAAATATTAATGCTAATACTGGCAATAATAATAATAATAATAATAATAATAATGGAACGACGACTAACGTAAACAGCATTAATAAAAACGAACATGACAATTTAAATGCACCTAATCCTTTAACAACAAATGATGATAATGATTTATTATTTCAACATCAATTAAGTCAATCGATCGATCAAAATACCTCAACTAATAATATAAATACAGTTGATACAGGATTTGATTATTACGAAGATGAACCTCGCCGAAATTCAATACTATCAGCTCAAGATATAAATGATATTGATTATGAAGAATTTAATTATGATCAAATGCCAATTTATGATAATGTATCTAATATGGTAGAAGAATCTAATCAGATCCAATATTCGGTAAATTCATGTTCACCATCAACATCACCAAACGAATATGTACGTATAGAATCCTCAACCTCTTTTGATATTATGATGGATGGAGTTTCGCCAGACTCAGAATCAGATGCAACTTCGTTCGGATTCTTTGATTACGGATATCAATCGCATCCCGGTGAATCATTTGGTTATTTACAACAGTTTAACGTTAATCCATTTGATTTTAGCGCAATGATCCCATCTACATCACATATCGATTCTTAATAAATTCAAACAACAGTCATTTCCTTTTAATACTTATAAATAGTGTAATTTTTTATATATAAAAGTTATTTGGGGGTGTGTTCTGCAGAATACAATTAGGTCGCGATTTCTTAATAAGATAATCCTTGCATTTACTTACGGACATTTTCAAAATCAGAAATCAAAAAAAAAAAACAAAAACAAAAAAAAACACAAAAAAAAAGAAACTCTATCAATCCTTTTTTAAAAAGTATAAAAATTCATTTCTTTCTTGGAGGAATTGATATTTTTATTGATATCACTTTTATTATTATTTTATTATTATTTTATTTGCCAAAATTCTTGGGTTGGTAATTAATTTTTTGTTCAATTATAAAAAAAAAACAAATACTATTAGAAAAGTCTGTAATTTGCAATAGGATTTATTTATAAATATAATTATTCCTTTATTATATCTTTTATTAAACCTCTTTTTCTATCTTTTCCTAAAAGTATAGAAAAACCTTATGTACATAAAACTCTGTAAAAAGAAAAAAAAAACATCTTACGAATTTTTTTAACCTTTAAGTTTAAGAATTTATCTCTTCGAAGAGACTTTGAACATTCTTTTTTTTTTTTTGTTTGTGTCCCAATCAAAAATCAAGTCAAATTTTTTTTCTCTGTAATTTTTTTTTTTGATGAAACAAAAAGCTTTGTTCCTTTTTTTATTAGTATTATATTATACATTACGATCGTTGTAATAATTGCCGGCATAAAAGTTCTTTGACATAACTATCGTAGTTAAAATATTATAAATAAAGGATATGAAGTCTTTTTTTTTTAATTAAACAAATTAAATGTTTTTTTTACCGAATATACAGTAGTAGTGATAAAGATAATGTAATAGATAATAAATTGTATACTGTATGCATATATATGCATATATATATACGGAATTGTGCATGCATTTCTTGATTCATTGTAGGTAACATAGGAGTCTTCACAAAAAGATGACAAGATTTCTTGTGGATGTAACAACTTTTAGTTAGCATTTGATTTATTTGATTAAAGTGCATATCAAATTTTATACAGTATATATACTATATAATGAAAAATTAAATGATTTTAAACATCTTGGATCATTGAATGCTAAGCAACATTACACGCATAAGATAACGTTTTACAGTATATGCGTTCGTTTTTTTTTTTTTTTTTAGATACATATAGTATAAGTCGTTACTGCTGACAACTTTATTTTTAAATACTGTAAATGCGCCAATAGTTTCAGATCGTGATTTATATTATATATATATATATATATATCGTATTACATCTTTTTAAATATATAGCTCAGTTTTTTTTCTTTTTATTATATTAATAAACAAGCCCGCCGTATTACGTATGTGCGTACTAAAGTACGGAGATATGATCCGAAGACCCCGTGAAATTTCATGTTCAGTCACGTAGTTTATGTATATTAAAAGTTTAGGATTCATCGATATTTCTGTATTTTTTATATCCTAAAACATTTTACTAGTTATTGTTATATTTTTAAATATCTAAAAAAATTATATCGATACTAAGGTAGATTAAGACATATTCAACTGTCATAAAATCCATTTACTATAATGTCAGTAAACATTTCTCTTGCACCATAAGAATGTGCGCATTTATAGATAGCAAAATATAACTCACTCTCGTTATAGTGAACTCTCGATATAGTGAACTCTCGATATAGTGGAATTCTCGATATAGTGAAGTTAAGTTCAGGGCTAGTCTATATAAAATACTCTCGATATAGTGAATTTACTAATAAAACACTCTATATAATGAATTTTTAAAAAATTTCTATTAATGGAACGGATCACTTCACTATAACGAGAGAGAGTTGTATATAGAATTTATATAGAACGCGCATATATCGTTATTAAGCGTGCATTTAATAAAGTTTTTGTTTATAATCCCGATTTTACAAGGGGTTTATAAATGTTTTTTCCTTTTTTCCGTACCCAAATATTACATGCTATATAGAATCATACGTAATAAACTCTATCACATTGTGATCTAATGAAGGGAACTATTATATTAGTTAACATTTTCCATATTTACTGTAATATATCGATATTTGATATACACTAGCATTAATAGACATACAAATAAAAATGTAGGAGTGTTTTGTTGGAACAGAGAAAAACGTCACACAATTTACAAACATTAAAATGTTAAAATGATCTAAAAAAATAAAATATACAGTTAAAAATATACAGTTAAAATTTAAAGTTTTCTAATGAGATATGATTACGTAATAAATCTCTGGTATAAGATGGATTGACTTATTTAGAACATACAAAGATATATGCATATATGTACATGCTGTACCAAAAAATGTTGGTTGCATAACAAATCATGAAGATTTGTGATAAACAAACGTGCCATGAATCTTTCATATTTATATATTTGGCTTTAACCTTATTTGCTACCAACTTTTGGGCAACTATTAGTTTCCGGTTCACTTTGTCCGATTCTTTATAACATAATTATATACTCTGTACGTAATCCAAATCTATCTTCCCACATGCTTTCCGTATCTTCCGAGCTATTACCAAGTTCTAAATGTGTGCGGTGTGGCGTTGATTGACCGATAAAAAGTTTATCCGTACATACGTATTGATCATGCACACTTCGGGTTCTCAATGATTATATATATATATGAATAATTTAACGTTAAAAGTAAAATAAGTAAAATAAGTAAAAAATATATAATTTATAATAATTCAGAATAATTTAGAATAATTTAATAATTCAGAATAATTTAGAATAATTTAATAATTTATTATCACAAACGCATACAACTTATGAACAAGATAGTGCAAACAGAATATTCTTTAATTCTTACAGAAACATAAAACCATTAGGATCATGTTTCTTATGTGTAAAGATAAAGCTGTCTTACCGTGTGCTTTGACTATTTAGTTAAACGCCTAGCATGACTAAGGTTAGATAATTAATTTGATCTATTTTAGTATGAGCTGATAAATTTAAAATATAAAGATATTAGTTTTCATTGGACAAACTGACTGGTTTAAATAATTTATATAATTTCTTTTTCATGTTACATATTATTCTCCCATGAACAATGCGAAAACAAACTTGATTGCTTTACTTTGTATTTCATAAACCGATTAAAAGAGTTTGAAAAAGTAAATGTTTATTTATGTTGCCCAATTTGTGTAAACTAATCAGCAATTGTGTTACTTTCTTGCGTTCTTTAACGATGGTCTTTTTTAAGCATTTAATAATCCACGTGATTCACGTGTAAGCACCTAAAATAGTCCATATCGATATATCTTATTTATACCATGACTTTATTTGAAAATTTGCGTGATCACCACAAACATGACGTAGAATCCAAGTATTTTGGCCAGAATCTATCATATTGGGTTATAATTTAGTCAATTTAGTCATTTATCTTGGAAAGCAAATTGCCTCAAAAATTTTAAACTTTTGTGCAAGATTTTCTTATCATTGTGTTATAATGATTGTTATTTCGTTATACGTAAATAGGTGATACATGCTATTCTAGGATTAATAGAAATTAGTAATAGACAAAATATGGGGGGGTGCCAGTAGAAACCAAGCAATTTGTTTTTAGTGAGTTTTTTTTAAATTTTAAATTAAAATATCTCAAC